TTAACTATACATGTTTGTGTTCCTGACCTTATAGTGCTCCTTTAATGTTAAAATGTTATATTAGGCCAAAATTCTTGTTTTGGTTTAGAAATTAGACAATTGCCTTAATACTTGGGGGGCTAACCCTCCCTTATATGAATAAGGGGGTCATATTGATTTCCATATGCCTTTTTTAGTTTTTATTATTATTATTGGTATTTATATAGCGCCAACTAATTCCGCAGTGCTTTACAATATTATGAAGGGGAGGGGGGGGGAGGGGGATTTACAATAAGTGGGACAATTACACAGTGACAGAGGAACAATATGTAGATGAGGACCCTGCTCAAACGAGCTTACAGTCTAGATGAGGTTGGGTACAAATACACAACAGGGCAGCAAGGGTGACAGCCAAAAAACAAGATGGAAAAGTAGTAGAGGTGGAGGTGAGACTGGAGTATGGCTCTTTAGGAGAGCAAGAGACAGATTTGGATAAGTATAGATAAGTTACTCTGGGAGTCCATAAGCATTCCTGAACAGATGTGTTTTGATGGACTTCTTAAACAATTGAAGACTAGGGGAGAGTCTGATGGGGGTAGGCAGGCTCTTCCAAAAGAAGAGAGCCGCCTTCGAGAAGTCCTGCAAGCGTGAGTTAGCAGTAAGGGTGCACGCAGCGGACAGGAGGTGGTCACCGGCAGAGTGGAGAGACCGAGAAGGGGCATAGCTATGAATCAGGTAAGAGGGACTAGAGTTGGTTAGAGCTTTATAGGTAAGGGTTAGTATTTTGAATTTTATTAATGACACGGAGGCTCCTATTATGCTATCTCTTTCTTACTTTATTCCTCAGCAGCAAAGAGAAAAAATAACTGAAAGAGAAAATATGTATAATATGAATAATATATAACAGATACAACCAACTCTGCCTAGTAACAGGGTAGCCAATCAGCTTATAGGAACAGTCCATAAATGCCTTGCTGTATACTTCCACTTCCTCTTTCTTTGCTGCTGTCCTCAGACCAGCTAAGTATACTTTTACCTCCTTATGTTGCTCTGTTATTTGATATTGCTGACTATTGTGCCTGATGAGGCTATTTGATTTTGGTTTTCATTGCTTTCTGCAAAATTGTTTATTAATTTATTTGTTTTCTGTATTTGTTTTTTTGCTCCTTTTAAGTTTTTTTCCTGTCTGTGTCTCTCTCCCCCTTTTCTGGTGACCGGGTTCCATGCCTGTGCTGGAAATTTTACGGACACAGGCCTGGACCCGCGACTACCAGGGGACAGAGTCTGCTGGAGCGTCTCCGCTCCCTGTTTTACCCCTCCTCTTACCTCCGTGCCGATCAGTCTCCCTCGACGGCACGGCTCCTCATGCCTATTGTCAGTGGGTTACTCAACCCCCTTTGTTATTCCTTTGTGTCAGTTTAGGTTAGGAATAGGTTAAGTTTCTCCTTACTCATTGTATTCTGGGCACATATAGACACTGTCTCTCTGCACTTCACCCACTTTGGCATATATTGGTATATACTGTGGGATATTCCCCACTGCCTCAGTGATGCAGGCTAGAGCTGATGGGGCTGACAGCCCCAACTTCTCCATTATGGACTCTATGCACACCCCGACCACCGAGGAGACCGGCCTTACTCCCTCTCAGGATTACCAAGCCCTAATTGATTCTACCATGGAGAGAGCCCTGGCCTCGGCCATGGGAGCAGTGTCTTCATCCCTATCCCATACTATACAACAGGCGTTAGTACAGCCTCTGGCCCCTGCTCTAAGGCCCACCCCCCACCCTACGCAACAGTCTCAAGCGAGTCGCAAGGCGCATGCCAAGACTAAGCACGTCTCCCCAGGTGTGACACTGGTACAACCTGCCCCGACTGACGCGCCTATGGCCATCCAAGATGGCGCGCTACCGCGTAAGAGAGCTGCTGGCCGGGCAAAATCAGCCAGAAAGTGGAAAAGGGCACGTGCCTATGTTAATGAAGGATCAGACTCCGATCTGAGTGGAGAGACGGGCTCGGATGTCCCTGATTACGCCTCTTATGAGGAAGAGGGCTCTGACGCTGAGGCGGGGTCCGACGCTGCGACGTTACCTCCGAGTGGGGGGCAAGGCATATGTGATCCGCAGGGTTACCCCCTGTTCGATTCAGATGACCTTCGCCATCCTCGCTCGGAGGAATGGGACCCACCCGAGCACATAGCTAGCTATCTAGCTTTGTGTGTGCGCACTCCTTTGTCCAAAGAGGGGCGCAGCAAATTGAGGGCTGAATGCCCAGGGCCCTGGAAACCCAGAAAGGGACTGAAGTTCTCACTCCACAATTGCCAGGACAAAATTTTGGACACCCGGGGACCCGCTGCCAAGCTTTATGAGCTCTTGGAGGCGGCTAAGGCAGGGGATACCCCCCTTAATTTTGATGATGCGATCGGATGGGTCCAAAGACTGATTTGCATTCTCTGCAACGCTAATACAGCAATGTCGGCTGAACCATTTACAAAAGTAGACAACCCAAGGTATTGCAAATGGGGTATGACCAGTCTTTTTTAGTAGCCACTTGGTCACAAACACTGGCCAAAATTTGTGTTAATATTTGAAAATGCAAAAAACAAATTTGAACGTCAATGTTGGCCAGTGTTTGTGACTAAGTGGCTACTAAAAAAGACTGGACATACCCCATTTGCAATACCTTGGGTTGTGTACTTTTGCAAATGGTATGCCATTATGGGGGTAATTCTCATTTCTGGGCTACCGTACGGTCTCAAAGGCAACGTAACCAAGCTGGCGAACTTCAATGTCTAATTCCCGAGCTCCGCTCCCAGCCGCAAAGAACACACCGCACTAGCACGACCTGGCACCCATGGGACGTACCAAGAGAGCCCAGATGACCCCACATGGACAGGGCACACAGGGCACTAAGATCCAAGCCCCCCCCGGGTGCTCCCCCCAGGGACTTAATTTGCCACATACCAGACTTCCAATTAAAGGAAGAAATTATGAGAAAAGCACGCACAGAAAGAACCTGGAGAATAGAGGGACAGGCGATAGAACTTTACAATGACCTATCCCACCTCACCCTACAGGCCCGAAGAGCCTTGCGGCCCCTCACCGCCGCCCTGCAAGACGCCCAAATCCGCTACAGATGGCAATTTCCTTTCGCCCTCTCAGCCAGACAGGGCACCACAGAAGCAGTAATTCGCACGCCGCAAGATGTACTGGCCTTCCAGGAGGCTCTAAACCTCCCCCGCACCCCTATTTCGGACTGGACTGCATGCCCGCTTAATGAACGCCTCACAGGGAGGCCAACACAACGTACCATCCACCAGGGGCCCGACAGGGACGCCCCGCGCACCCATCACCGACTAATTGACCCTGAGGAATAACGAGATGGAGACACCACCACCTGCCTACACCCACCCACCCTGCACCACCAGCCTGACCACGACCGTGCAACGCATTAACGACCACGCTGAGGGGAGCAGGAGGGATAAGGCACCTCCAGAGACACCTACTCCCCCCCCCCCTTTTTTTTTTCTTTCTCTATCACTCTGCAACCAGGAAAGCAAAGGGAGAAAGCAGATTGCGACTCACCGCCGCCAAGACACCACCAAAAACGGTAACCCACCCACATCTCACCGTCCCAAAGGCCTAGAACCACCTTGCTTCACCGGCTAACTGGGCCTACATCTATTGCCCCCCGAGTCCATGACTTGCTCAACACCACCAAGAACGCTGCTAACTCAACAGAGACAACCCCAAAGGACTCGCCAGTGCACCAATACCTTGGCCGGCTCCACACAAGACTCCTTTGCCCCACAATGCGGGACATAGACCCACACCCGCCAAGCTCCCAACACCCTATAGAGACGACCACTGGCATGATGCCTTGAACTGACACCCTGGCATCACCCTGGACTGCTGGCCACGGCTTCCACCACCGTAGAATGAATCGCAAGTGCAAGTATACCTTGCGGGCTCGCTTACACACCTAAACACTAACACTCACCCACACACACACATACACACACACATCCGCTACACCAGGAAGGGAACCCCCCCAAATACACCCAAGATGCACCCAGACACCCTCACTATCTAATCAAAACGCAGACATACACACAGACCATACCTGCAACACAGGCAACCAGGTATCAAACGCACCTCTGAGGCGTCCAACAGAAACACACCTCAGGCACCACGAACATGCTAGAAGGGGGGAACACATCACTCACCAACCACTACATACCGTAAGATGAATGCTCCGTGTTCCTCAAGCAGACTCATAATTGTGAACATCCGAATTACTGTTGAGAGCGACTCTGCCTCGCCCCCTGTGAACAACCGAGAGGTTCCCACCGGGCGACGGAGACACCTGCGCTCACTGGTTCCAACAAAGTGTATTGAGTATATTGTTGTGTTTTTTTTTTTTTTCTCTTCTTCCCTGAACCCCTTCCCCCCTTCCCCCCCTTACTTTATGCCCTCCTCCTCCTACCCTGTTATATAAAAGGTGTGGGGTGACGGCGCACCACGGGGTGCAAACCTCATTCTATTCCATGAGGGGCCCCCTGTGCTGCGCGAACACACTCAAACCATCTCTAAATGTTCATAAAAGTTTCTGATGTTCTCCCTGATACTGGGATATAATTTGTGTAACCATGTTTTGATATGCTGTTATTATATTGTTCTCACGAATACTGTTCTTATATCCGTATGCACGCTCCCGACACAAAAGCGCAACGATAACAAGATAGCGCCCAGGGGCGACCATCACGACCATTCACATTGTTGTTAACTGATCCGCTAGAACGGTACTACCCCTCTGGATGCCAGACACCACCACTATTAGGCAGCAGGAGACGGATGCTGACAGACAGTGATACGTCACTAGACGACACCCCAAAGTAGGTGACCTACCTAACCACCGATGCCACCTGCCCCACGGGTTCACTGCCAAGAGACTGTGAGGTGACTACGAGGACCTTGGTCCCCGGACACACACCTACCAGTGGCACATTACCCCTTACAACAGTCGCCTCTGCGACTCGACACAACCGCTACACACCACACCGCTTGAACTACCCCCTCAAACCCATCCAACCTCCCCTTCCATCTCCCCCCCCCTTCTCCTCCCCTACTCCACACCCCGCCACCTGGATACGATGGGCCCACCGCCTCTCGCCCCCCACGCCCCCGGGCACGCAGAGATAGGAATTAACCTCTACACAATCAACGCGAAGGGCCTGAACTCCCCACAAAAACGAGCAAGAGCGCTGCGAGAAATTCGAGCACTTAAGATATCAATAGCTTTCTTCCAAGAAACACACTTTCTAGCAACAAAAGCCCCCAAATTCTCAGATAAATACTTCCCAACCGGCTACTACGCGCATAACCCCTCCACCAAATCCAAGGGAGTGGCTATATTATTCTCGGCAGACACCCAGTTCCGCCTGGAAGCAGAAGAGAAAGACCGAGACGGCAGATACCTCTTTCTCAAAGGACACATAGGGGACGCTCAAATCACACTCGCGAACCTCTACCTCCCAAACAAAGGCCAAAAATCATTCCTAGCCTCAGCCCTGAGAAAATTGGAGGCGTTCAGTGCAGGAACCGTAATAATAGGAGGGGACCTCAACGCCCCTCTAGACCCCAAGATGGACACATCTAAAGGGAGCTCCACGATCCCGGACCACATCCTCAGAGGACTGCGGACCCTTTTGACAACTCACCAACTTGTAGACTGCTGGCGAATCCTACACCATACAGAGAAAGACTACACCTATTATTCAGCGCCACATAAATCCTACTCGAGGATTGACTACTTCTTCATCCAACACAGGGATCTAGACACACTGTGCTCAGCCCACATCGCCCCCATGACCTGGTCGGACCACGCACCAGTAACACTCACCATCGACAATCCTAGAACCTTCCGATCCCAATGGACATGGAAACTTAATGAATCACTCTTAGAGGACCCACTGATCCAAACAGAAATTAGGAACACACTAGACCACTTCTTCCCCACCAATCAAACAACAGAAAGCGCACCAACGACCGTCTGGGAAGCACACAAATGTACTATCCGAGGGATCCTCATCAAACACGGCACTCGCCTGAAAAAACAACGCACACAGGAAATAGCACGCCTTGCTGCCCAACTGGCGCGTCTAGAAACGCTTCACAAACAAGACCTCCGAGACGAAACCTACAAACAACTCCTAGAGACCAGAGCGAAACTCAACTCCTGCCTCACGTCCAAAATACGATTCCAGTTCCAACTCACACAAAAAATGTTCTATGAATACGGAAACAAAAGTGGTAAACTGCTCGCTAGGGCGCTGAGAGCCTGGAGACAGAAAACCCATGTTCAAAAGATCTCCCTGGCAGGAAACACACTGCGGACCCCGAAGGCTATAGCAGAGGGCTTCAGACAATACTACTCCTCCCTATACTGCCTACCTCCCAACACCACACGCACACACGAAGGAGAAGAGGCTCACACAGCACGGCAAAAAACATATATCGAACAGAATATCACTACAACGCTGACACCCCAAGATATAGCTACACTAGAAGAAGATATCACTGAAGCGGAGATACGCCTAGCCATCAAACTGGCCAAACTGGGGAAAAGCCCCGGACCAGATGGATACACGGCAAAGTACTACAAAATGTTCGCAGACAACCTTGTCCCACACCTACTTACACTATTCAACTCAATACATAACGGAGACCCCTTAGACCCCAACATGCTCCTAGCACACGTCGTGGTACTCCCGAAAGAAGGAAAAGACCCCTCCTCATGTACCAGTTACAGGCCGATCTCCCTGTTGAACACCGACCTCAAACTGTTTGCCAAAATACTGTCCCTGCGCCTCCAGCCCCTGATGCCGAGCCTTATCCACCCTGATCAGGTGGGCTTTGTGGAGGGCCGGGAGGCCAGGGACAACACTATCAAGACACTCAATCTTCTCCACGCGGCCCGAGAAGGACACTCCCCCGCCCTGATAGTCTCGACCGACGCGGAGAAGGCGTTCGACAGGGTCGACTGGTCTTTCCTGAGGTCCACCCTGGAACACCTGGGACTGGGACCCCACATGATGACGCGCATTTGGGCCCTATACACCGCTCCAGCAACCCGGGTGAAGGTTAATGGAATTCTCTCCGACCCATTTGAGATCAGAAATGGCACTAGACAAGGGTGTCCCCTATCGCCCCTACTCTTTGCCATCAGCTTAGAACCATTCCTCAATGCAGTTCGAGCCCAACCCCGCATAACTGGAATCGAGGGTAGCTGGGGAGCCACCAAGGTCTCTGCATACGCGGACGACCTCCTCTTCACAATCACCAACCCGGCAACCACACTTAGGGAGCTCACGCACCAATTTACCTATACGGCACCCTCTCCAACTTGAAAATTAACTTTACGAAATCTGAAATTCTCAACGTAAACTGCCCCCTAGCACTGACAACTACACTGCAAACATAGTTCCCTTTTCACTGGTGCAAAGAAAGGATTAAATACTTAGGGATCTGGCTGTCGGCTGATGTGTCGGACACCTACCGCATCAACTTTCCACCCCTCCTCGACCGCATACAGAAGGACCTCGACTCGTGGCAACTCCCGCACATAACGTGGCTGGGTAGGATCAGTGTCCTCAAAATGAATATCCTCCCCCGAATCTTGTATCTCCTACAAACCCTACCAATCCACATTCCCAAAACCTTCCTAACACAAACCCGTAAAACACTGATGGCCTACGTCTGGGCCCGCAAAACGCCGAGGCTGAATTTCGCCACCCTCACCAGACCCAAACTACAGGGAGGCCTGGGACTACCCGATATCACCAAATATAGACATGCTATACACCTCCAGCGAGTGATAGAATGGACACAAGACCCGAAAGACAAGCTATGGATCCCCATAGAGGCCAGCTTCTCACGGATACCCCTGACACTTCTACCCTGGCTGCTGAAATCCATGGCCGGGGAACTGCCACGGAACCACCCAACCCTAAACGCTACAATGGCAGTTTGGAGGAGACTGGCGACTCACACAGACGTAGCCCCGGAGCTCTCACCGTTATGCCCCATATCTCACAACCCGAAATTTGCCCCCACTACACGGCTGCCCTGGGCATGCCGACCCCCTGCAGAGTGAAGGACGTCTATGACCAAGGCACAATCACGCCCCTGACCACCCTGGTCCCGAATACCCCACACAATATGCTCCTACGCTTTAGATATCACCAACTGACGAGGTTTCTGAGAAGCATACCGACCCTAAATTCGGCAACGCGAACACTCTCCGTATTCGAGACCATATGCATGAACCCCCCCCCCACACGCAATATCGCTACTATATCGCATGCAAACCACCACTAACGCACCCCTCCCTTACTTCACAAAATACTGGGAAAGGGATCTAGGACACTCAATTTCAACGGAACAATGGACAACGGTGTTTACACTCACACATAAAGCCTCCATCTCCACCAAATTCCAAGAAACAGGATATAAAATGCTCTCCCACTGGTACAGGACACCGGAAAAACTTAGCATGATGAAAACCACAAATGACCCGGAATGCTGGAGATGCGGGAGAGAACTGGGATCCCTCTTCCACATATGGTGGTCCTGCCCCCTTATCCAGCCATTTTGGGCAGAGATCCACAAGATACTCACAACCATAACAGAAGCAAACCTACCCCTCTCACCAGACACATACCTGCTCCAACTTACACAGACCCCCATCAACAGATTTAAAAAAACAGCACTCCCACACCTAATAAACGCAGCCCGCAGCCTCATCCCGAGACACTGGAAACAACACATGGCCCCGACTATCAGAGAATGGATAACGAGAGTGGAAGACATCAGACGCATCGAGGAACTCATCCACTCCGCAACGGGACGCATACAACGTTACCATGATGCATGGTACCACTGGCTCCAATGGCTCGCCTCCACCGCACCAATTACGGGGACCACACAACACCTGACAGCAGAGGCAGATGGGACGGTCCTGACGGAACCGACGGACGACAATACGGAAGCTGAACCACCGACCCAACCAAACCAAGACGACCACTCAGAGCCGGAGATGCCCCTTGCCCCGGAGGCGGGGGGGGGTTGAGGTGGGGACCCGGGACCTGACACCCCACCCCCTACCCTCCCGCACCTTACCCTCACCCGCAATGCCCTCACCCCATTAACCTACATTCCCATCCCACCCGCCCCCCACAACACAAGTTAAAATACATGACCAACTGCCGACAAGCTGCCTTGAGAATGCCACCTACACTCGCAGAAACGCCACCTCCCTTACAGGACAGACTATACACCACAGCACCCACAAAGACCCACCATGACCAACACATATCGGACAAGGGATGAACCAACCCAACAAGACTGTCCAAACGCCCAATACCCAAGTGCACTACACCACGATACCAGAACCCACCCAACCCTCACAACCCGGGACAGCACCCGCTCGACCAATACCCCCCCGACACTAATAGGATCCCCAAACAGACACAGAAGGACACCAAACACAGAAGGGACACCCCAACAAGACTACACCCCGACGCATGACACACGCACAACCACCGCCCACACACATCAAAGAACAGCGACTAGCGCAAAGGGGATACCCACAACAAACGCGCACACAGGACAAAAACTACCTGACGGACCCTCGACCCCCAAACGCCCCACTACTCGACAACCACTCCCTACCCCCCACCCCAACGGATCAGTAGAGACGCTCTCAGGAAGCAGGGCTAGACAAGGTCACAGCAGGAGCACTAAAGTTTCTGCCTTATCGCAGTTTATCTGCTTCCCAACACAAACATACCAATTAATAAAATGACTGAATCTGAGTGTTCTCTATAGCTTTCATGTCTAAAACTTGTGAGAATGGCGAAAATATTCTCTTTCTATTTTTCTAAGACTAGTTCCTTCTTGAAAACTGTCAATGCTGAAAGATGTTGCAATGTAGGAATGGAATCAGATGCTCGCTATTACTTTGTAAAATTGCTCTCTTCACATAAATACTAACGATACCTTTATACCAAATGAACAATAACTGACATATTCACTATTTTTGCCACCTTCTGTATTGATGCATATAACTTTGTATTGCCAATCGTTATGATGTCAATAAAAGCAAATTGAATCAAAAAAAAGAAAAAACTGAAACGCAAGCCTTATATTTGACTCTCTACCTTTTGAAAACACCATAAAACCTGTATATGAGGGGTACTGTTATACTCGGGAGACTTCGCTGAACACAAATATTAGTGTTTCAAAACGGTAAAACGTATCACAACAATTATATTGTCCGTGTAAGTGCCATTTGGGTGTGAAAAATTTCACTGACAATATCGTCGTTGTAATACATGTTACTGTTTTGAAACACTAATATTTGTGTTCAGCGAAGTCTTCCGAGTAAAACAGTATCCCCCATGTACAGGTTTTATGGTATCTTGGAAAGTTACAGGGTTAAATATAGTGCTAGCAAATTAAATTCCCTGGATTTATTAATATTAAAATACACGTAGACAGTGTATGTGTATTTATGTGTATGTGTGTATATGTGTATATATATATATATATATATATATATATATACTTAGATCATATATATAATAAATATATATATATGATCTAAGTATATATAATGTTATTTTACACTGTTTTAACATTTAATAATTTTATTTTCAGACAGCAGGGGGAGTACCTGTCATTACAGGCACTCCCCCTGCTGGCAAAGCCTTGGACGGCTATGCCGTCCATGTGATCATGAGGTCCTCACATGGACCTCGCAATCACATGGACCAGGGGGGCCGAAGAGGAAGCAGGGAGACTCCCTGGGCTCCCAGGTGTGTCCCCACACCGCGATCGCCGGCCTGGGATCACCGGCGACCAGGTAAGTACAAAGGACGGTTTGGATGTTCTATGCCGCGTTGCGGCGTTTAGAGCCGCTTCCTTAAGGACGGCATAGAACATCCGCCGTCCTTAATGGGTTAACGTATTGAAGACTAGGGGAGAGTCTGACAGGGGTAGGCAGGCTGTTCCAAAGGAAATGAGCCGCCCATGAGAAGCCTTGCAGGCATGAATAAAGTTTATTATAATAAACACTAACTTTATTCAGAACAAATGCAACAAAGATTAACCCAACATTGAACACTCAGCCTAACCACCCAATGTGGAATTCAAGGCCAATCACGGGAGCGAATTGGGAGTGGGAGCAGGACTGCTGCCCTGAGGGGTTGCCATAGCAACCAAATGGATACAGTTGGAAGCAGGGAATTCTAGAAAAAATTACCAGACTACTGGTGAACAATGCTGAGGGAGCCTGGCAGGATTTAATGATTGAAGGAGTCAGCAGTCATGTGTTAGGCAGGAGTGAAAAAATGTGTTTTGCCTTTTCTTTATATGCATAACAATACTATTGCACAGACATGGCTTACTTGCTATTCTTGAGTAATCAAGTTTGAAATAGGCATGTAATATATTTGGCCCTGCGGCTTCACAAAACAAACCTG